CTTATTGAGAAATTGATTCTGATATGGTGTGATCGGGTTGCATGCCTCAACAAGAGGAATAAAGGTGATATATTGAGGAGGAATAAGGGTGAAATGCTATTATATGGTGGGATCGGGTTGTACGCTACAACATGAGTAATAAGGGTGTTATATTGAGGATGAATAAAGGTGAATTGCTATATATACGGTGGGAACCGATTGCACGCAGAAACATGAGGAATAAGGATGGATTGATATGGAGTAATAAGGGTGAATATTCATATTGATGTTGATTATATGGTGGGATCAGGATGCGCGCCGCACCAGTTTATATGTTTATGTATCTTTCTTCTACTGTGTAAGTTATTCTGTAGTTTTACATTTCACTTAAGGATTGGTCATAGCTGGATCTTGATGAAATACTAGAGTTCTATATTCATTCCTTGCAAGTTATTGCTTTATTTTGTTCTGCTCTTTTTTCTGCTTTTATTATACACTGTATGCAGGTTATATTGTAATTGTTCCGCCGTAGCCTCGTCACTACTTCATCAAGGTTAGGATCCGCATTTACCAGTACATGGGAGCGGTTGTAATGATACTGCACTCTGCACTTTCTGTGTAGATTTCGGAGCAGGTAGTGGCTGACTGAGAGATTAGCTTCAAGTTACTCAGTTTGGAGACCCAAAGTAGTCCTGCTGGTGTCCGCAGGCCCTAGCGTCCCCTTCTACATCTCTATATTACTGTTTTCTTTATTTCCAAAATAGTTATAATTTCTTTCAGACCGATGTTTGTAGTAAATCATAGTATGTTCGTGGATTGTGACACCGAATTCTGGGTGGTAATAGCAATGGTATTGGTAATAGTATATAGACAAAAAAGTTATTTAATTACTTCCGCGTTTATTTTATTTAATTACTTCCGCATTTATTTCTACTTGTTATAGCTTGTTAATTTTTAATCAAGGAAATGTAAAGGAAAATGGTTAATAAAACTCTAACGTTGGCTTGCCTAGCGAGTGTGATGTTAGGCGCCATCACGGTCCCGATGGTGGGAATTCCGGGTCGTGATAGTTCTTGTTGCTTTTATTATTCCTTGCCTTATCTGTTGGTGACTTTGGTGGTTCTCTTTAATCGCTTCCTTTATGTTATCTCTATGCTTATTATTCCGGCATTAGTCTCTGTTATTAACTTGTTTTTGTATCAGCTATTTCTTCGCCTTCCATTACTTCCCGTTATTATATTTTTATTGTGTTTATTATGTTCTAGTAGGTGTCTTGACCTGGCCTCGTCACTATTCTACCGAGGTTAGGATTGATATTGGGTACCATGGTGGTATACTCATACTATACTTCTGCACATTTTTTGTGTAGATCGAGGTACGTCTGCTCATGTTAGACGTTAGTATTCTGTTTGCCCGAGACTTCAAGGTATACCTGCTCGCATCCGCAGACCTCGGAGTCACATTCCGTTATCCTTATAATATTGTTGTTTCCTTTGTTAGACAGTGTTGTAGTAGGTGTTTTGGAATATTATGTAGAAGCTTATGATTCAGTCTCACCGAGTTTTGGGAGCATTACAGTTGTGTTTCAATTATCGAGATATTTATGAGAATTGTTAGTTTATATCATGTTTCAGCTTTTATTTCTGTCATAATATCTCATTTGTTTGGTTTACCTAGTCTTAAAGATTAGGTGCCATCACGTTGTTCTAAGGATGGAAAATTGGGGTCGTGACACTTTAAAATTATTATTATTTATAGCCACTTTTTATATTTTATAGCCAAGTACAAAAATACTTGGTTTACTCTTTTTTTTTTTTAGTCCAAGTTCAATTCCGACTGTATATATGGGCGCTAGGGTTTCAACTTTCAGTAGCCTAACACACAAAGCAGCCGAGCAAATTCCTCTAGTGTAATCTTTCGTTGAAGCCAACTATATCCTGAACATTCAAGGTCATTCCCAAACACACAAGGTTTTCAACTTTCAGTAGTTAACACTCGAAGTCGTGATGGGTTGATTACCCACGATGAAAATAATGGAGGAGGAAGATCGGAGTCGTCACCAGATTTGGATCTAATGGATCGGAGATGCTAGAATTCATGGCTTCTTCTCTTTCTTTGTATCTCACATCTGAGTGTATTCGTCTGACCAGATTTTGGTAGATACAATGTGATAGTGTATTCTCAGACTTGGCCGAGTTATTGTCTGTCTTCATTTTCTAGTTTTAATACAATATACAAGTGTTTTGCTTCACCGGAAGAAGCCATCTCCGACAAACTTTCTTCTCTTCTTTGCTATGCAGTCACATACAATGATACAAATATATTATATTCTGTACAAATACACTCAAATTTGAGTGTATTCTATATTTTTCAATGCAAATACATATTATTTTGGTTGTATTTTCTCCTATATTTATATATTCCAAAGGTTATTTTTTGTGGCAGGTCCCTATTTTTTCTTTTTTTGAATTTTTATTGCTTGAATATAGCCGAATTAAATACAGTGTAAAAGCACCTACCAATGAATACAATGAATTGAATACATGTGAATATCACTGTTTTTATAATTTTTTGTTGTTTAAATACAGTCGAACTGAATATAGTGAAATTGAATACAACGTAAAATAGTTAAGAATGAATATAGCCGAATTGAATACAATGTATACAACCGAATTGAATAAAATGGTATACACCATATTTCTTTGATTTTTTGTTGTTTGAATATAATTGAATTCAATATAGTGAAATTAAATACAATATACAATATATAAGAACGAATACATCCGAATTGAATACTTTAGCTAAATTATAGCTACGCTCAACAATAAGCCTCAAACAATAGTCATTTCTGAAAGTTCCCCAACTTTAAATAATATGTTAAAATAAAACTATGAACAAGTTTAAGAAATATTTATAAATCATATTATCACATATATATATATATNTTTTTTTAGTTAAAATAAATCCAAATCATGATCGAATTTTTTTCAGTTTAACTCGGATTGTCGGTTTGGTACCGTTTATCGGTTTTTTTTTGTATACCCCTAATTCCAACAAAAGGTAACTCTATATCTTTTGGCTGTATTTTTATCCCGCATATATAATACAGTCAAACCTCTCTATAACAGCATTTTTTGTTCCGATATTTTTTTGGCTTTTATAGTGAATGGTTGTTATACATATAACAACATTTGAAGTTTAAATATATTTTGGCTATTATACAACAAAATTATCCAAAAATTAATTTTTTTAATGTTACATATAAAAGATAAGAAAATTATTCAAATTTAAATACTTAAAAGATATGTAAATTTTACTAATTAATCAAATATTAAAAAATCTAACACATTATTAATAAATTTGTAACTAAATATATAAAGATTTAAACTCTAAAGCATATATTTTAAAGGTACTAGAACATTAAATTATTTCAAGATTGATGGCAAAATTTTGTAATAATAGCTTGTCCCGTAGATTTCAGTCTCTTACTAATGATATAACGCTTGAATTAGCGAAGATTTGTATATAAACTTTCAACAAAAGGATACCTAATAGCTTTCCCTTGAAAGCAATCTAAGAGGTTAATAATTGAATCTTCTATCTTGGTCCAAGTAACAGTAGGTTGAAGCCAAAATCTTTAAACTTATTATTAGTGATCTTATTAGAGATTCTATATGGATGTTATAGAAGGGTAATTTTACAAAAAGCGTATTGTTATAAAGATAGATATTGCTTTTATTGGTAAAAAGTTGTTATAAAAAGGTACAATATAATATAAAAAATCGGTTCCGAGAAAAATTTAGCTTTTATAATGAATGATTATTATATGAGGATGCTGTTATAGAGAGGCCTGACTATAAAGGTGTCAATGGATATTTGAAAACCGACTAAACCAACCGAACCATACCGCACCGAATCGATTTTTAGGTTTCTTTTAAAGAAACCGTAGGTTTTTATATAAATCTATAACCGTACCGATAATTAGGGTAGATTTTTTATTTTATAAAAATAAACCGAAAATATACCGAACCGTACCGAATAAATTTTATATGTGGAAAAGATATTTATATAGTAAGTTTAAAACTAATAAAGCATTAAATTTTTCATTGGGTCTTGGAATTATGAAAATTGTTACAAGCAAACAAGTTATTAAACTCAAAGTAGTAATTCCTAAAATATATTATGCTACTTATACTTAAACTAAGTTATTTCAAGTATCTTTATTAGCAAGACACAAAGTGTTCTAGCGATTATGAGTAACAAACTACAATGTATTGAATATATTTCCTTTCATACAATTTAGATTTATCTTTTTGAATATTTAATATAAACTTTATTCTTGAGTCCCGGCTTGGTTAATATCTTTCCACTCGTGTGATTTATATTTTCTTTGCTTTTAATTGGTATCTTTTACGTTGCTGTCGAATAGTTGATGGATCTATACTCTACCCATCTTTCATTTTTTTAATTCATCGCCTTTAAACAGTAAAAATGTCTAGAGAGTTTTGCTAAGTCTTATAATTCAAGTTTTTTTAATTCAGCACCTTTAAACAATAAAAATGTCTAGATAGTTTTGCTAAAAGAACATATGTTACTGCATTCTACTTCTACTGGTGAATTTTACATGATATTTAAAAAAATACCGAAAATTTATCGAACCGTACCGATACAAAGTGAAACCGACATGATTGGGACGATTTAGAAAAGTCTAATTTTGGTTATACATAATAGAATGACCGAAAAATTGGTATGGTAAAAATTTTATAAAATAACCGTCCGAACCGAACCATTGACACCCATACCTGACTGTACAACATTGAGACATTTTTATAACAATATCTTTATATAACAGTTATTCGCTACAAAATTAATTTTTTTTCGGAATTGATTTTTATGTAATGGTATAATATATGTCACTCAATTATAAATTGGGACTCGAGGCCTAAAATAAAAAAATAAAAAATAAAAAAAAGAAGACGACAAAGGTACCGACCGAGTCACCGACAAAACGTGAAACTCGTCAAACCATCTTCCTACCACCCGATTAAAACACTTCAGCGGTCCTATGCTTTATTGAAGAAATGAAATCAAGAAACCTTATTGGACAGTGAGTTGAAACAATGGAGTCAAGTCGGAGTAAGGTACTAATTGTACTTTACCTGACTGCAATTACAAGTTTGATGGTAAAAGGAGTGACAGGTTGGACTGGTGAAATTCATGGCAGAGTTGTTTGTGATGTCTGTGCTGATTCTTCTGTTGGTCCTGAAGACCATGTTCTAGAAGGTTCCTTCTTAACATTTATCTTCATTTGATTGTTTTCAGCTTTTTATTTACTTTGAGAGTTTTGCTTGTTGTAAATCGTCAGTAAAAGTCCGGTGTTTTCAGAAATTTTTTCAGCTTTTACAACGCCTGATTAAATGATTGTTATATTTATGCTGGACACTTTAGTGATAGGATCAGCAAAATTTGCATGTTTTTTTTTTTTAAATACTCATCCATTGTGGATGAGTGCAAAATTTGCATGGTTAAGATTAAGTTCTCTCAAAGATAGGGGTGTTTCTAGCCCCCAGGCTTTGGTCTCGTGGTAAGAGCAGTGATGTGTAGATTAGGCACACATGACACATCATGAGTTTGAACCCGGTGCAGACAAAAACCTGGTGTTTAAATGGAGAAGGGTAGAGAGGCGGGCAATTATCCACCGAGTTTCGAACTCTACGCTACTGGCAACTTCGGGAAAGATAGGGGTGATTCTACCCTATTCACCAACCAGTGTTCCAAACTTTCAGCTTAGCTGAAAATTTGTTGTTTTCTGATCATCTTAAGATGGGACAATTCAGTGGGAGAAGAAGTTGTTTCTTCCTTTCTGTTTTATTACTCTTTCCTTTTTTATGGAGGTGAGGGTTGTCTGTTAAGAGGAGAGAAATTCTTCCCTTTTAGCATTAGGATTAAGGCAGAAGATTCATGAACCAAGTTACAAGTTAGCTAAAGTATTGCGTATCCCAATTACTGGGGTTCTTCTTATTAACTGACTTGAAATATATGCAACAAAAAAAATCAGTGAGAAGATTCATTGGATTTCTAGTAAATGGTGCACCGAATGATAGAAATGTAACTTAGCTTGGAGAATCTTATGGTGCATTGTTAAGAGAATTGAATATCTAGAATCTTTGAGAAGGAAACTGATAGCATGTTCCCTGCAATCCAATAGGATTTGAACTCTGACGGACTATCTGTTTTATTTGATATTCGATACTTATATGCAGCACAAACTAAAACAAGTTCCTGAAATATTGAAAAAGGACTGAAGTGTGCCCTCTGTTTCCCCTCCATCCAGTGTACCTATTCGTATCAAATTAACGTAGAAATGTCAAGCAGCCCCCATGCATTGTGTGCTCATGGGGAAGAAGTTGTTGAATGCAAATTACACCTTGAATCTATCTCCTTTTCCTGAGAATCATATGGATTAGAATATCTTCCATTGAAAAAATTCTGCTGACTTTGTAAATAAAGGCTGAAGGGCGTGGAAGTGCAATCACACTAGTGGAACACCGTGTTGACACATGTCAAGCATCAGCTAAATATTATCATGTAGAAAAGAAAATAAAAGAGCATCATATTGAGTTATTACTAGATGTCTGATGCCTGAGTAATCTCTACTTGAGCCTTTCTTCCTACCTTCTATGCTTCCTTTTTGGCTACTCTGCCTTGTTTAGTTCATCATTTACTCTTCCTTGGTTATGAACTTTGAATTCTCATATGCTTTCATTGTTTGCTATTTGCTAACAATATATGGGACTAGAGAATAAAGGTGTCAAAATAGTGTTGTAGGAATTTAGGAATTCCAATTGATAACTCTTTCATATTAGGCTTCAAATTTTAACCAAAACCTACCGATATTTTCAACTTTATTTTCCCAGTTTATCAGAAAGTAAAAGGGAATCACATGAAAGGGGCATGACTGGATTTATCTTATGGTGTCAATTTTAGTCATGGGACGTATCATGATGGTTGGTTGTTCTGATGATGATGGTGAGAAGGGTAACAGCCTACTGTCTATCACCTTTTAAGCTCCTTTCTTTTTCCTAACCATCTATAGCTAGATTTAGAATACAATGTTGAGCCGTTGCTGAGTGTTTCTTTTACGGAATTTTAATTGGTAAGTTCTTATTTGTCCCCCAATTTTGGTTCTAGACACTTCATTTCATGGGAAAGTTTTAACTTTTCACCTAATACTTCTTGCCTAGAATCTAGTCTGGTTTGTACTCCGGCAGGATTAAGGTCAAACTAAAGACCAATCAAAATTTAAAGTTGCAGGAAAATATTCTCTTTATTGGACTTGTATGGAATAAAATCCATGCATTGGGTACTATTGTGCAGGATTTACTTTTTGTGTTAGCTCATAATGGTAGATGTTTCACTGTGCCTCTTTGTCAAAACTGTCAGTCAAAGAAGGCATAGAACAAAGTGCTTGTACTCTTTTTGGTCAATTTGGGACAAGTTTGTGGTTATTAGCTTCACTATATTTCTGCTGATTAATGTAATTGCTTGTACTGGTGATGCTGACTCAGACGCGATGCAAGACTATCTTATCCTTTTTTTTTGTGCTGCCAATAAACCTACAAATGATAGCAGTTCTTTTTTTCTCTTGTTATATATATCTCTGAAGGTGATGTTATTTCCTTGTTGCAGGTGCTGAGGTTGCTGTTCTTTGCATAACAAAGTCTGGGGAAGTTCTGAATTATCAGGCATTCACAGACTCCATGGGGATATATAGAGTGGCCGAGACAATGCCAGAGATTGATCGTTGGGATGCCTGCCTTGCAAGACCAATCAGCAGCTTCCACGAACACTGCACACGTCTGGGAGAAGGCAACTCGGGGTTGAAGTTCAGGTATAATCATCCTTCAGGATATTCACACGCAGTCAGACCATTTGTATATCGTCCCACCAATGTCCCAACATATTGCATCTAATAAAGTATTGTATCACACGCTACAGGCTATCGAAGCTTATTGCTAATGTATCTTGAGTTGTCTTGATTTTAATGAAAATCCAGTAGCAATCTGGATATATATATAAATATATAGTAAACTTTGTCTGTTCGGCTTACTCAGTAATCCAAGGATCATCCAATGCTAAGGTCAAGTTCCCAAGTGGAATTTTCATATCCACTTCTCAACTAGTATAAATAAATAATGGCGATGGGTTGGTACGTGCATTGCACCAGAGAGATTCATATACCGGTGATGTATCTTGAGTTGTCTTGATTTTAATGAAAATCCAGTAGCAATCTGATGTAATGGCAGATCTAAACAACAATGCATTGGCACTTCAGATGAAGTCTTTGATGATGCAAGTAGGGGTGGGCGTTCGGTCGGTTCTGTTCGGTTTGAAGAAATTAGGTTCGGTTATTTGGTTTTTGGTTTTGTAAAAGTAGTAACCAAAACCGAACTGAAATAAGTTCGGTTCAGTTTGGTTTTTCTAATTTCGGTTCGGTTTTCGATTTGAACATTATCATATTGGGCTCCTTCTATGTAATAATAGGACTGACGAATTTGTTGTTTTTTACCAAAACTTCGAAATTGTTGGAAATATTGTGTTTATAAAAAAAATAAAAAATAAAAAGACTAAACATTTCACACTATTATGGATCATAAAATTCAAACATAGTGTAAATTACAACTCTGTGTGAAATCCTATCGGTATCTATCATATATGCTATGGAAGTTTTAATAGAGTGAAAGTCTTTAAGATTGGGAAGTTCATGGACTTACTTAATTGGGTTGAGTCTTTGATAGATTGGACCTAATAGTATTAATTTAGAGAAACTTTCAGTAACCACTATATTTTTAGTGGTTATTAGCTTGTTGTAGCTACCATTTACTATATTACTTCTTATAGCTATGTTTTCAGATTTTTTAGAGTGTATTCGATGTATGTAAGCCACTGTATTCATGAATACAGTAGCATTTCTAGGCGTGAATCAGGGGATAACAGCTAGACAGATTTTTGTATTCGAGTGTATTCGACTGTATTCATGGCGTGAAATATGGGATTACAGCTGGACAGATTATTGTATTCCACTGTATTCACGGTGTGATATAGGGGATTACACTATTTTTAAACGGAAAGTGAATCAATTAACATAATAGACTCCTAATATAACTCAACAAACTCAATTATAACACACAAATTCTGTATTTCCAGTTATAAAAAAGATTCTCAACCGAAAAACTCCCCAAAAACATAGCAATCTTCAGAGAAATTATATAATACATCTGAATACATAAATATATTAATTAAAAAAAACATATGAATTGTCACGCCTCCTTTTTGCGCGCCCGCCCCGAAGGGTTAAATGCGCGAGAGAGTTTTTCCAATTTAAGTGACAATATTCGAAATGAGATTATTTATTTAATTCAGAGTCGCCACTTGGGAAAGGTTTGGCTTTTGGTGTCCCAAGTCACCGGTTTATCTTGAATCCCAAATCGAGGAAATTTTCGACTTTTCCAAATGAAGTCTGCGAACCAGAAATTCTAAGTAAGGAATTCTGTTGACCCGAGGGAAGGTGTTAGGCACCCTCGAATCCCGTGGTTCTAGCACGGTCGCTTAAATTGTTATAAT